TTACTCCAGGGACACGCTTTCCCACCTGGACTTCATTTCTGTTAACTCTACTGACTCTCATAAAATGGACTAACCTTAGTTTTGCTGTTCACTTCTCCGTAAAAATTCCATTCCCATGTATCATGTCTAGCCTCCTTTGTTAAACTTATTAGCACCACAGTGGCCAAGCCTGGCTCGGAAGGCAGAGGCACACGCAAGATCTGAAAAGTCCATCAGAGAAGTTCAGGTCTCTCCCTAGGAGACTGGCTTAGCGGCCAATCCAAGTCTTTAACAGGAATCTGGGAGTTAAGAGCCCCTTTAAGCCTCATCTGGATCTGTTTTTCCAAAAGTAGCACAGGCCTCTTTTTGGTATTTTACCAAACGTGGCTTTTCATCCTGAGTGCAAGCAGGCGGCCGGGCGCCCTGTGGACCCATCCTGGAAACATTACGTTGGCGCAGCAGCAGAGGCGGTAGCTGAAAGTTGAATGAAAAGTCTGGATCCTGCTCTGGGGAACTTCAAAGTAGGCAAACCTGCCCCCATTGTGTTTCTCCCTTAAACCTCATGGAGTCTCAGGGCAGAGATTCTTCCGTCTCTGTCTTGCAAGAAGGCACAGCTGCTTTTGCTGCCCACAGGTCTTGTCTTCCGCAGGCCGAGGAAGGCGGGAGAGGCTGGGAGAGAAACTGGCTTCCAACCTGGGCCTGGTGCACCCCCAAAGGACTGGTGTGCACCAGCTCCTCCGGTCATGCTTTGACTGTGGGGATGATGTCGGAGTTTCCATGAAATGGGAATGCTTACTCTTGAAATTGCCCTGGCATGAGATCGTGTTGGCAATTAAATGAACAAACCCCTTCAAAAGATGGCTGTACCACAGTCAAAATGTTGTTATAGGAGAACTAGAATGACATTGGGTTAGTGGGTCATAGATCTAAAAAGGAAGGTAAATCCAAAGCAAATAGTGTCTGAGAAATGACAGCCGGTGGGGAGGTGGGCTGGCATGAGGGAGGGTGAGGAGGGACCTCAGGGCACCCTGTACCTCCCTGACTGCCCATGGGCCTGTGGGCCATAAGAAACAACAAAGCTTTCTTAAATGACGTTAAATGCTGTGTTCACCTTGGCTCCCTAACTGAACAAGTTCCCATGTTTGCATTTTACCTTGTCTAGGTGAATGCTGCCATGCCTGCACATACCGTTTCCAGTTTGAGGATGCTTTTTAAAAACACACTTGTTTTTTTCTAAAATAGACACATTTGCCCATTAAGGAAATACTAACTGGGTAGCTTCCTCTGCCTGTTATTTTGCCAGTGAATCATTATTTTTTTTAAATTATCTTTATTGTTAAAAGTATTACAGATGCCCCTCTTTTTATCCCATTGGCCCCCTCCATCCCCCACCCGTCCCAGAGCTTCACCACACTATTGTCTGTGTCCATGGACAATGCATGTTTGCATACAATTTCCCTTGGTTAATCCCCAAGCTTCCCTCTGAAATGCATCAGTCTGTTCCATGCTTCCATGTCTCTGGATCTATCGTGTTCATCGGTGTGTATTTAGTTAGCCAACAATTTGGGTTATAATCATTACTGCTGTCCTAAAACAACAAAGATTTGCTGAGCTTCTGCTAGGGACACAATGCTAGGCACTCAAGTGTAAACAGAATACGCACAAGTGAATCTCTGCTGATTCAAGAATCCAAATTGGCTGGGAAAACCGGCAATATAAACAGAATTCTATGGAACAATATGAGGGAGGAGCTGTCAATTGTCCAAATTACAAATGCTGAAAGATTTCCAGAGATATAATGGCCACAAAAAGTTGGTATAGTCAAGGAAGACTTCTCCGATATCAAGCTTCAACCTGTATTAGCACGTATGATGTGTTTTTGTTTGGGGATTGGGGTACAGATCAGAATAAAGTGGTGGTGGTAATGGTATGTGTGAGTTTGATGGATGTGTGTGTGAGTGAGATAAGGAAGGGATACAGTGTTGTGTATGCCATGTTCTGCAATTCATCAGCTCATCTGTGGGTAACAGAAGGTATACCCAAAATGAGTGGATGCCAAGAAATATTTGAAACTATATTATGGCCCTAGTCGGTTTGGCTCAGTGCATAGAGCATCAGCCTTCAGATGGAAGGGTCCCAGGTTCAATTCCAGTCAAGGGCATGTACCTCGGTTGCAGGCTCCTCCCCCAACCAGGCCCTGGTCGAGGTGCCTGCAGTAGGCAACTGATGGATGTGTTTCTCTCAAACTGATGTTTCCCTCTGTCTTTCCCTCTCTCTAAAATCAATGGAACAATATCCTCGGCTGAGGATTTAAAAACTATATTATGGAAAAAGCATTGTCCTGAGAAAGGTTGAGGGAATAATAATTTATACGGTCAAATGACCATAGAAAATGATGCAAACTAAAAGCATCTTTTAAAAATACAAAGCAAGAGTTCATATAAAATTTTTGGCATACCAATCTTCATCCTGGAGAAGAGATTTCTTTTTCCCTCTTCATAAAATTTGAAAGTACTGATGCATAAAAATGGCTATTGTTTGGTCTAGAAGGAGTGAACATTCACCAGAAAGTAAAGGAATATGATCAAATTCTTCTGAGCAGATGGAAAACATGTACCAAGTGGTGTTTTTGAAAAATTAATCTAGTAAGCTTTAGAATGTGGAAGAAGAAGGGCTGAAACCAGGAGACCTTTCTGAATATTTTCTCTAAATCCATTCCAGCATGACTAACATAGTGCTGGGAATTTTGTTTGCTTTATTTTCAAAAATTTTCTTTTTAGCTGTGGACTACTTTCAATTTAAAAAAAATTAAATTAAAAAATTTTGGGTGATATTGTTAATGAGATTATATCAGTTTCAAATGTACAATTTGATGGTAATTGGATAAAAAAATGTGGTATGTAGTAGGTTTACAGTTGTGAGTATGCAAAACAGAGTTAATTCTTGTAGGAATATTTCTTAATTATTTTATTATTTTCCATATAAACAACTGTAATCCTACTTTTGCCATGGACTACTTTCTTTAAATAAATATTTAAAATCCCTATAAATAAAAAAAGTGAAGCTGATCTGGATAATGGAGACAAAACAGGTGTTCTGCATAAGAGCTGCCCTGCAGTATGTGAGTGCTAGGAGGAAATCAAGGACCTTTGCAAGGTGCAGAGGAAATACTTTTCAGGTTGCAAATGCTAAAGTGTCCATGGACTAAAGCAGTGATCGGCAAACTCATTAGTCAACAGAGCCAAATATCAACAGTATAACGATTGAAATTTCTTTTGAGAGCCAAATTTTTTAAAGTTAAACTATAGAGGTAGGTACATTGTTATTAACTTAATTAGGGTACTCCTAAGGCTTAGGAAGAGCCACACTCAAGGGGCCAAAGAGCCGCATGTGGCTCGAGAGGCGCAGTTTGCCGACCAAGGGACTAAAGAGAACTGAAATAATCGTAAAGTTAGTCAATCAGGATCTCTTGAAGTTAAAAATAAATTCTGGGGCTAACGAAAGAAAGAACCCCCTTTTCTCAGAGATTAAAATGAAACAAGAGCCACTTTGGGTTTGATTTAGTTCTTACTATCCTCTCTTGAGCCTCTAATGTTCGTGTCCCTCCTCATTTTCTTTACTTTGCTATTTTCTATTTCTGCTGCTCCCTCCCCTGTTTTTAAGTATGTCATGTTTAATTCACCTTTTGAAATTCCCAAAGATGAAACAGACATCAAGAATATGACAGGTAATAAACATAGAAAATGATGTGCAAAGTAGTTGGATTTTTGTTAGTTTTTGTCAAGAAAAATCAAGATTGATGTGGAGAACATTCTCAAAATGAGAACCATTTCTGCAATGAAGTCTGATTTGACTCTAGGCAAGGTGAAATGAAGATGTTAGGTTTTGATCAGGTAAACTTCTGCACATAATGCTTCTGTTAAGCAAATATTTAGGAGTTCTAACTGTGAGGCAGAAAGAATGGCCATAATGGGGATAATGCTCCCACACTGTGCTTCCACAAACACAGTCTATAGTGAAACCCAGACCGAAAAAAAAGGCATGTCTTAAATTATTAAATAGTGTGACCAAATCCTCCCCCATTCAGCTTAATTCAGGCCTACAGTTTCCAATTTATTCTCACTGAAACCTTCAAAAGAAATACCAGATTAAGAAGAATTAAGTCTCCTACTTCTGACATCAATCTAGGCATCCTTCTCCTATAATAATGAATTTCAACCATTTCTTTACATTTGTACACATTTTATTTCCCAGATAAGAGTCTCCTTATAAGAAGCTTGAGCTCCGAAAGGTTATAATCTATTCTTCTTGATCAGAAAACCCTACAATGACAAATAAACTCCATTTTACCTTAATATTGTAAACCAGATTTATTAACAACCTGAGAAAAATAGTTAGGGAAATGTCAGTGTAGTGGAAGAATATTGGAGAGCTTTAGGCTAGTGAAAACAAATGATATAAACACAGATGCTTGTACCTGTAAGTGAAGCAGTCACTACTTAAAACAACCTATCAGTACCAAAACAATTTATCTGCAGTTTATTAAAACTAATAGTTTTTATTAACAGTCACCTCTTTGGATTTTTAAAATTTAAATATACAGATACATGCATGTATTTGCATTTTAACATCTGTTATTTAGTAATTCACAACAAAATAATGATAATGCTAGGTTTTATAGGCATTAAGATTCATCTAAGAGAAAAATCCTGACTTTATTAAAAAGAAAAGAAAACATTTTCAGAGGTCAAATCCTACTAGAGGAAAATGTTTCGTTTAACAAAAGACATTGAGTCACAATCTATGTAATCATCATATATGGTATCTGACACAAGATTCAAGAACACAATAGAAGATATAAATAGCCTTTCAAGATTCCTCAATGAGATTTGGCCTTCATTTTGAGTCTCCTTAAATCACAGCAAACTATACCCATCAAAAATCTCTTATTTTTCCAGTTAATCTCACCTTTAACAAGAAAATAAAGAAATAGAAACAGTATCAAAAGCTAGATCACTTACCATAAATGCCTGTTGAAATGCAGGGAAATGCCTGTGAATAAACCACAAAAATAACAGTAAATTTTAAAGGTACAGCTCTGCTCAATCCCGGCACCATTTATTTCAAATTCTCTGTGGCTTGATAAAGGGATGCCCTCACATACTCAGGGTTGTGAAACCCCACTCAGTTCATGTAGGAGATGTGGAAACAGACACATTAGGTTCACTGGAAACTTTTTCTTACCAGCATTCATCTCAGCTCACAAGAGCCATCTGTTGAATTTCCAGTAATCTTGTGAACCAATTACTAAACACAGTTATTAATAAGAAATTAAATTACATAAACTGTCACGAAATAAATTATATCTAAAAAAATACTCAGAGATCATCTCATCACTTCCTAATTTGCCACATCTTACTATTGCCCCTGCTCTTAAGATTACTTACGCCCATCCTACGTGAATGGTGGAAGTACTAGGTAATGGTGTGCTACTGAGCATCGTGTCCCCATTCCCTATTAAGTGATATGTTGATGGCTTAAAATCTGAAAATATCAATCAACATTCATGTTGGACTATACTTGTGGGTCAATTGAAACCGTAGGTTGGCTATAGATACAAAATTTCGGTAAAATTTAATAAAAGTATTCTTGAAGAATCAATTAACTATACAAAATTCTATCTAATAAAAGAATTATATGCAAATTAACCATCATATCATGATAAATAGGAGGGAATATGCAAATTGACATGACAAAGATGGCCGTGCTGGCCAGAGCCACAGAGCCCACAGAAGAGCAGGCGGGAAGGTTTGGTGTCCTGATCGCTGGGGCAACCAGGATGCCAAGCCTGGACAGAGAGCAGAGCAGGAGGGTGGGCTGGAGTTCCCAGTCATTTTGGTTTCTGCAGAGTGCCTGGACCAGAGCATGGAGAGCACCAGGAATGCTGGGAATTGTAGTTCTGATGGCAGATGCATTGCATGATCTCTTAGACACTGGAGCAAAGTGAGCCTGGAGCAAGTTTCTGTTGTGAGTGGGGGATGGAGGGAAAGCAAAGGTGAAAGACATAAGTAAAGTCAGAGTGTCGAGGCAAAATTAAAAGGAAGCTATCCTGCACCTTCTAGGAAATCTCCACCAATGGAGCAAAGGAAAAAAAAAGACATCTATTATTGTATGAGCACCAAACCAAACTGGGCTGGGGTTTCAGACAATTTGCTCATAGATTGCAAAGACAGACAGAAACTTCACTCTTTTATGTATCCAGGCAGATACAATGCACAACATGCATGTTTTCACAGAAGAAGACTTAACAGCACCGTTTGCTATACACCCTTTGGTAAGTCACATTTTTGGTGGCGATCTGTGTTAGTTAATTGCCATAATCAAGAATAAAATTTAAAATTTTTCTATCTCTATGACAAGCAGGTCATTACAGCTTGGAGCAAGGCAACTATCTATAATAATAAAAGTGTAACATGCTAATTAGACTGGATAGCCAAATGACCTTCCGGACATCATTCCAGACATCCTTCCAGATGAAGCTGTGGTAGTGGGGCCGAGGCAGAGGCGGTTAGGAGCGATCAGGCAGTTAGGTGAGTGGGTGGGGAATCAG